CAGCCAACCATGCTGGCTGGGGAATTCTGGGAGTTGAAGTCCACTCATCTTAAAGTGGCCAAGTTTGGACAACACTGACCTAGGCTGATGGACATTACCGCATCTAGGGACAGTGAATTATCTAGCCTTAACTATTTTCCACTTGTCTTTGTTGTCTTGTATTCAGCTTTATTGGTTGACCCCAGTTTAGTCCATTCTTTATGTTTTCTGGGAAAATAATAACAACTTGATATCAAAAATGGGATAATGTGGATAATAAGTGAGCCCTCATGGGAACCCGAGTTTTATAGCCTTAGTAGCACTGTGCAGAAAGTCTCCTTCCCCTTGTCTCCTGTATTTGGCAGAGCTACCCAGGGAAGGGCCTTGACAATCACCCTAATGTACAGGCCTTTTAGTGCAATGTTATGCATGTTTTGCCCATGTAAAATATAACTCTTATGTTGGAAGGGTACTTTGCAAATACAGAAACCATGGACTAGCTAAACCAGAGAGAATTCATGTTTGAGTGGAATGTAACCATCTTGCAAGCTTGCCCAGCAAATAACCTTTTCCAGTGGTCATTAGCTTAATGAACTGCAAGATGAATATTCAGTCTAACAAACTACTGTATATAAGTCCATCTGAACACACAGGGACATGGAAATGCAACAGCACTCTAAGTTGGACTAAAGCAATTATGATGTACCAAAGACCAGGAGAAGATCAAAATATGACTGATGGATTAAAAAACCAAGAGTTAAAACATGAACTTCCATGATCAAGAACTGCCAAGAACAGCTACATCCCCCCAAATTGTTTTCTAAGTTTAGCAATATTCCACAACAGGATTGATGAAAACCACCTTTAGATGATAAAATTAGTTGTGCTGGAATTTAGAAATGTACTAAAGGGACAGTTACTGTATATTCAAGCTTTGATTCAATAAACCTGTGCTGTGGGTATACTGTATGTACTTACTAGATTTATAAGGCTTATAAATATTTACTTATAATATTTATAAGTAAATATACAGTTTACTGCATATTGTTGTTTGCTCTGGTGATTATGCCCAATACTGGGGACCAAGATCTCAAGACGGAAGAGAAAAAGTTTTCTAAAATTTCCCCCTTCCAAATCTTCATTTTGTAAATTAAGACACAGTAAAAGCAGAAAGGAGAGTATCTGATCATTTAAGCACAGTGGGAAGAAGTATGTTGATGTATTTATATATGTTTAGCAATTAGAAAAGAAAATGGCAAAATATCTATTTACCTCTCTGTCCCCCCCTCCATCCATCTAGGGGTGTCCAGGGGGGCAAAAAAGTCAAGATGGTGGCCATAGTTATGCAAAGCCTCACCTTTTTACATGCATGGTGTTGCACATAAAAAGGGGCAGGACTTTGATTTCATGTTGCAGCCATAATCTGGACTCCCTTTCCTGCAGCTGTCTCCCTCCCTCCCTCCCTCCTGTACACATTTTCCATGCTAAAATGTGGAGGGCAAATCTCTGTCAGTGCTGGTATTTACTGGATCCAACTGTATCTTTTTTTCCTCCAAAAAAGGATAAACAATGTTTACTGGGCAAGATTTCCTCCAAAGTAAACATAATAGGATAAACATTTGACTGAGAGGCTGGTACTACCATGTACAACTGGAACCAGTCTGTTTTTTCTCCTTTCTTTTCAAGACACCTTTCTTTTATTTCCTTTCCTCATATTTTTTGGCAAAGAATACACACCTTTGTTTATGGAGAAAAGTTACAGCCAGTACAGCTTCTGCTCCAGGTAATGGAATTCTTCTATTCAATAGAGATGTTGCTTTCAAATAACAGAGAAAACTGATTCTACTGCATGAGCTAAATTTTTAGATTGCTTGCAGCCAACCATCTAATAATAATAACTTTGGAGTCCTTGGGGTTCTCTGAGCTTGGTTGTTTTCTTGCAAATGTTTCATTACCCGTCTAGGTAACATCTTCAGTGCAAGCATTTTCAGAGCACTGAAGATGTTACCTAAACGGTAACGAAACGTCTGCAAGAAAACAACGAAATTCAGAGAACCCCAAGGACTCCACAGTTCAACCCTGACCTACATATTTTCTCTTCTATTGGTAATAATAACTTTTAACAATCTAATAATAATAATTAAAAACAACACCAGGATTGTTTAAAGTTAACTGCATAACTTTAACTAACATATTAATCAGTTAAATTGCTTTTAATTGATTACAAAGATGACCTGGAATAATTAGAAAACAGATTAAAAAAAAAGATGGAGACAATCCTCTTTTTTTCCTTATAGAAGGGAATGTTTCTAATAATCCTATGCACGTTGTCCTGGATATAAACAACTCTGTAAAATGTAGGTTTAACTTTAGCATAGACCTTATAGCATTGCATTAAAAACAAAAGCAAAACCTTTATTTAGATGATGACAATAAAACATTCTACTCATTTTTCACTGAAAACAGAAATGGTGGCAAATAGGGTATCTTGAGAAATTCAGTCTTTGTGAATTCCAATAGCAACTTCTTGATATACAGCCCTCCCACAGATCTTTATCTTCTCTGAATAATGCCATACAATTCTTGGCTCAAATATATATTATGTTCCATAGCCATGTATAGTGTTTAGAAATGACTTTTAAAAAGAAATGACTGCAGGTTAATAAAGAAATGGAAACAAATGGATTTTGGGATGAACATATGTAAAACTGACACAGACTGGATATAGAATAATTCAAAAATTGATAGCTACACAAAAATGATAGGTTGCTGCTAACAGACCCTAGAACCATTCCTAAGATGTAGATGAGAGTAGTATTAACACAGATACAACATAAAGTTAATGCTATGATATCATCCTATCAAGTGCTATACAGCATTTTTACATTTATGGTAAAAGAATTTCAGACGAATACCTCTGCTGACGACAATAGAAATAATCTCATTACATTCCACTCATATGCAATGTTTGCAAGTAAAATAGAGGGGAGGACCTTGCAACTTTCTGAATGTTACTTAAAAAGCAACTCCAAGCAGCCCTGCTGAATATGGTCGATGGCAGGAGATGTGAGAACTTTACTTTGGCAACCTCAGAAGGGACAAAGTTTCCCCATCCCTAAAGTAAACAAGCTACAGATTAAAGCAGTGGGTTACAAGCAAAACATCAGCAATGGAAACACACTTAGTAAGGAAATTAAGTCCCATTGTTCTCCAGGACTTTGGGGACTCTACTGTTTATAGCCGTGCTTCTCAACCTTGGAAGCTTTCAGATGAGTGGACTCCAACTCCCAGAATTCCCCAGCCAGCATAGCTGGCTGGGGAATTCTTGGAGTTGGAGTTCACTCATCTGAAAGCTACCAAAGTTGAGAAACACTGGCTTAGAGCATTCAGTGGGTGTCATCAACCCCAGCAGTACTCAGCCCTGTAAGTGAAATCCACATCTGGAGGGCACCAGGTTGTGGAGCGCTGGCAACTCTATGTTTGCTGGCTCATCAGGGCATCTATTGAAATTATCATAATTAAGACTGCAGTCTTAGGTAGCATAGGACCCGTAACTCAAGATTTTACAGGGTTTTGTTTTTGTTTCGCCCAGCGCAACAAATCTGAACCAAAAGCAAAACGCTAGTGAGATTTTATAGCCTGGTCTACACCAAACCAATAATATGCACAGCTCACAAAGACATGCTCTATTCTATGATATCCTTCTATGTTGACTCTGCATCCTCCATCTGTTCTATTATATCACTTCTAACTCATATAATTCCAGCTGGTATTTATGTGATTATGTTTTTCCTTTGATACAGAAATAAAGGCTCCTGAAAATTCAGTTTGAAACCCCAGATAATTGCAGGACACTTCTAACATTGGCATTAAAACATGTTGCATTTTATTTTGGTTTGGTTTAGGATGTTTTGGATTTCTCAAGCACTTTATTTCACTGTGTTGTTTTCTTCTGCACGTAGTGGTAAGTACCATATATAGGGCTACCTATATATACTTATCTATACATTATAAGGTACCATAAATAATAGGGTATATCAAGGAATTGTATCTTAAATGCCTACAGAGTTTTGTCTTCAGAAGGAATTTCCAGAAGTAGCATCTTTTCTAACTAACAAATTTTGTGACCTGCAGCTCACTTCAGTTGCATTTTTGCTAGAGAGAGGCAATTATAGACAAATTACAGGGTATGGAGACAAGCTTATTAATTGCTTGAAATGTTCCAATGAATTCAGAGTCCTGCAAAGAACCTTATGGCATTTGTCATTTCTCCCTATTGCTTTTTCAATACCTCCTTTCCATTAATATGCTGAAAGGTACGGGCAGGGAATAAAGATTTTTAAAAAGGAAATAAAATGAGTCGGAAGGGTAATAAAGAAGCATTCCAGAAAAAGGGGTGATTGGCTGATTTTAATCCTAAACTGGAGCATTCCACATTACTTTGTTGCTGATTATACTCATAGTTACAAAATCTCTGCTAATCTGCACTACGCTTGATCTTAGCCAAAAGGCCGATTTTGGCTTTGGGTTCTGCTAATCTGTTTTCCATGCACCCATTTTTTAAGGGAGGGAGAAGAAAATAAAAACGTGTCTATTATTTCCTTCCTTAGTCACTGGAATTGATCCTTACCTACTAGAAATAACAAGGCACATGGCTATTTATAAGACTAAACCAAGGACTGTGACCATGGACATCTTTCTTTAGTATTTCCATTTTATTCAGGTGAAAAAATCCCCAAGAACAGGATCAATAATTTTTGAATGTAATAATTTTGCATGAATCAAGTACTTGCAGGCGGCTCTGAGAAACACAAAAGGTAGTAATCAAGAGAAAGGTCAGCTCTGCAGTGCCTTTTCCAATATATGACTATGTCAATGACTTATGTTCTTTGATTTACAAATCACAATTACAAAATTATTCCAATCTAGTGTTTTCACAGTACTGTTCAGTTATGAAATTAAAGAGAATATATTTAAAACTAGTTGTACTTCCTAATTTACGAACTCTTTTTGGAACAAGTTAAAATTTAATGTTGTAACAGGTACAGGCAGTAAAATAAATGCATTTTAAAAAAATAGTGACACATTTCTTATTCATTTTGGAATGGCTTTATGCTTTGGACTTTGATGTGAACAAACATCCCAATTTGTCTATGTAACAGTAATGTCTTATATTTGACAGCAACCTTCAAAAAGACTAGTAGAACTTGAAAGATGTGAGAAAATAGAGATGCATGGAAAAGACTTTTGCTTCAGCTAAGGAACTTGGAGTCAAACTAGAAATTTTGTTTAGTATAGGGGGAAGAGCTTTTAAAAAGGAAGGAAAAATGGTTCCCACATTCTGAATTAGCATCCTGGCATAGAATTTTGGGCCATAATCATATTTTGTTCCAAAATTTGGGTGTGAATGACATGTTAAGTCTTCAAATAACTTGAATTATTTATATTGTGCAAATGTGGATAGCCTCTAAATCTGTTCATGCCTCTTGGTACCTGTGCTTGCATGATATATTGAACCACATTTTAACTTACCATGTTTTGTTATAAGGTTAATTTATGGTTGGATATGTTGTGGACGCTCAGAAGACTTAGTTTAAGTAAAACTATGGTTAAATTTACCTGGGGTAAGCATATCCATAGCCATCCTTGAGGTCCACAGTCAAGCTAAGACACCCATCAACATGAGGGAGTTATGAGTAGAAAAGATATACACTCCATCTCCTTTTATGAACAAGATATTTGAATTCCTGTATAGGGCTCTAGTGCCTTTCTGCTTTGACCAAACTTAGATCCTCTGACTGTGCAGCACAGGCTAACACTTGGCATTCTTTTTCTGCCGCAGAATGTATGTCCAAGATCTACAGAAACACATATATCCAAGGAGGAGACATATCTAAGGTTTATACTCCAACTGCAGACTATTGTCAGATGGTGTGCACTTATCACCCAAGATGTCTTTTGTTCTCCTACATACCTGGAAACTGGGCGAAAAATACTGCAAGGTAATGCTAAGGTTATTTGATGACTTATGTGTACATTCTGCATGCCAATGGTATAAAAAGGCCTTTCTAAGACAAAAGAGCAAATCAAGAAGGTCCAAGGTACTTCTAAATAAATGATGACAGGAAGAAGACAAGGGAAGGTTTAGGGATGGCTGGCAGTGGGAGACAGAGTTACACTGTTTGAGTTGGGAGGCCTTATAAATCCAGTAAGTAAGTAAGTAAGTAAGTAAATGTAAGAAATGCATGTTGTATGAATAATGCTCCCCTCTTCCAAATATCAGGTTTTCTTGCTTCCTGAAAGAAATTGATACTCAAGAATTGCCAAAAGTACCCCAGGAAGGAATAATCTCTGGTCATTCTCTGAAGCAATGCACTCAAATTACTGGTAAGACCTAATTGTTTATGAGACTTGACAAAGCAATGAAAGGAACTTGGGGCACTAAGAGCTGCCTTATGGCAAATCAAACAATTGGTACATTCATTTCAATATTGCTTGTACCAGAAAGTTTGCTAAGGCTTTAGCTTTGGTCCCAGAGATTTGAACTCTGTCACTGAGTTATGGACCTTCTCCTAAACTGAGAGTGGGCAAGTTGGGACCTCAGGCTACATGTAGCTCTTGAGATCCTTTCTGAGGCTCTCTGAGCCATCTCTAAACACTGAGGAAAATTCTAGTGAAAGCCTAAAATAGCTTTGACATGTTTTAAAAAACAAAATGAAACAAAACATTAGAACCTCCAGTTGTCCCAGAAAAGATAGTCCTATCCATGAAAGTGATATATATGTGATACAACTCTATACCTATGCATGTATGTGATACTACTTTGCACCATCACTATGCCACGGAAGTGCCCAACGACCAAACGTTAGCTACCTCTGCTGTAAAAACACAACCTACAGCTCTTGCTGTTTCTAAGTGGACAGCACTGAGACACTGATCAGGCCTGACCCTGCTTAACTTCCTGCTTGGAACAAACTGAGAATGTCTATGACTTGTATGTCATAGACAACATCCCAAAGAAATAGTTGTAGGAAAGAGAAGTACGGAAGCTTCATCTAGTAGGCTTATGATAAACCAGAGCCCTAGGAATGCAGAAGACAGAGCTGGAAGTTTGAATTGAAGCCCTTCCAGAACTTCAGTTATTTTACTCATATAATGTTTTTCCTCTAGAAGGAATTCCCCCCCCCCCCTTAAAGGAGGTGGTTTTCTTCTACATCTTCTTTCTTTTTCTCTTTTTTCTAGCTTGCAGCAAAAAAGTATACGAAGGACTGGATATGCAAGGAGAAAATTACAATATAACTACTGCTGACAATTATCATCGCTGCCAACAGAGATGCACCAACGATAAGCACTGTTACTTTTTCACGTATACCTTAGAATCATTTCACAGCCCAGCTCTGCGGTAAATAATACTCAGGATCTATTTCACTGGACCAAAGAAAGAACAGGGGTAGCTGCTTTGAAACACTACTTTGCCTGTGGGAATGAAGACAATTATGAACACAATGTGCAGCATAGGCAAGTGAACTTGCGATAGCTGGGTCTGAAGCATTTGCCAAGTAGGGCAGGGCATACAAGGTTTTCAGGTACCATATAGCTATGTGTTGTTGATTTTCACTGGCAAGCCATGCCCCCACATTTCAGTGGCATGATCAGAATTGGCTTTGAGGTTAAGATTAAGCTCATAAAATGGCATCTTCACAGCCAGTTGTGATCCACTGGCCATTGGTTGCCCATATGGTGTAGAACAGCAATGACATAGGTTCTTTATTCTAGGATCCATGAACCGATCAAATAATTAAATGTATCATATCATTGTTGAGCACAACGTCTGCCTGGGAATAACCACAGGGTTATTATATCTAGATTAGAGCCAATTTGGTTTAATGGTTAAGGTGCTGGATTAAAAGTCAGGAGATCATGGATTCTAGTCTTGCCTTTGGCATAGAAGCTAGCTGGATGACTTTGAGCTAGTCACTCTCGTTCAGCCCTAGGAAGAAAATACAGGCAAGCCACTCTGAAAATGTTGCCAAGAAAACTGCAGGGACTTGTCCTGTAGTCACCAGAGTTAGAATTGATTCAATAGACCATAACAACCATATCTGGGTTGCAAAAACTTAAATGAACACTAGTTGGCAACAAGAGATATAGAAACGTTATTTGTTGTCTTCTACAAGTCATCTATATTTTTGCAGCTCACATATAGTAGTCCTATATATTAATATTAACAATTTATATATGTTCATGGGCTGAAGCCAGTCACTAGCAAAGGCATGATACCCTTCAATAGATCTAAGTCCCATCTCAGTATAATGGGGTATGAGGATAAAATTACACAATGGTTATGTTTACATAACAAACTTAACTAGATCAGTAAAAGATCTAGCAGCTACATTTGTACAGTTGGCTAAAATTGATAAGTCTTAACTCCATTTGTTTGTTTTGTTGCTTAAACATGTTCTGTGAACCAGCCTGTAAGGTTAGCTGATGATTCAGTATACTGGATGGACATACAACATGAGCTAATTCAGTAAATTAAGTGCAACATATTTTGCAAACCCAGTCATTACACACCTAACTCTTCTCTTTTTATTTTTTGTACAAGAAACATATAGACACCGATTAACAACCAAGATGATCACAATGTCCTATATTAATAAAATTACCAAAGTTGGCTGCAGATAATGTAGAAAACAAGGTGTAGCTCAGCCCTTTAAAAAGTAGCTATTTCAAGCCACTAAAAGTAGGGGAGCATGTATTAATAAGAGCAAAGTTCTTCTTGAATTCCAGATAATTTCAGCAGGACTAGACTGTTTCATTTAGACACATGTGCTATTAACATTTTTTAAATTAATCAATTAATTAATTAATTAATTAATTTCATTTTATTCATTTAATAATCTCTCCCTCCCCACCAGATTCTGGATGGTTTACAAATAGGAAATATACAATAAATCCCTTGAACTTAGATCACAAAAAACCACATTATCAAAAAAGAGAACCACCCCCGCCCCCCGGCTCCCAAAGCTTATTTGAACAAGATCCTTTTAAACTACCTTGCAGATGGCTAAGAGCAAACTGGCCAGTCACAACTCCAGGAGTAGTGTGGTAAAAAGTAACTGACTTCAAGTCCATTTCCCCCTCATTTCTTGTGGGATCAGGACCCTAAGCATCCTCTCCCTTGATGAGGAGAAGACGGAATGAAGAAGATAGTGAGATGATTCCTAAGGTAACCTGGGGCACACTGTATGAGGATATATGGTTTAAAACCAACAATCTGGATTGGGTTTGGAATGCTATTGGCAACCAGTGCTGTGACGAGAGTATAGGCATTAATTCTGCAATAGCAGCTCTTTCTCCTAGCAGTGTGGTTTCTAAATCATTTTCAAAGGCAGCACCATGTGAAGCACATGACAGAAGTCTAAATGTGTGCCTGTAAGGGCATGAGTCACTGTTATCATGGCTTCCTGATCTAGTAAAAACCGAACAAAGCCTCCTAAGGCCACAGTCACTGACTGCTGTTCTATTGTGGGTCCGGTAGAACTCTCAGATCTTGGATGTGTTCCTTCAGAGACAGTATAACCCCCAACTACAGAAATCACTGGAACCAAATTGGAGCCAACTCCATCATGCTGGGTACAATTTGAGTTTGTTTCATCCTATCTTCACAAACTCCAGATAATGGGCTACGACTTCCACAGCATCTCCCCCCTGGACTGAGTAGGGATGTATAACTGAGTATCATCTGTGTACTGATGGTTTCATTTGGGTGATAAATAGCAAAGGGAAGTCTCAACTGCTCCTCCCCCATGACCTTCAAATGGAACTGCCCACTTTTCCTGCTATTCCAAGAACCTGTAAGTGGTCCAGAAAGATACTATGTGTGATGGTATCAAATGCCACTAAGAAGTTTAAAAGGACTAGAAGAGGCTCAGTCCCACCATCCAGGTCCTGACAAATAAAATCTACCAGAACAATCAATGCTATTTCCATAACTGGAGGGGATCTAAATAATCCATTTTATCCAGAGTCTTCTGTAGCTGGATTTGGCTGACATTCCCATAGGGGAAGCTTGGAGACAGGGCAGATGTTTCCAGTATGGTTGTATTGAGATATGGCTTTTTCAGGAGAGAGGGCCCACTACTTCTTCAAGGTTTTGTGACAACCCTCACTCTCTCAAAGAGCCATTAATCACTTTCTTAATCCAGCTGCATAAGTCTCCTCTAATTACCCTCCATAAATGTCAGGCTGGGCATGGATCCAATCTTCTGGTAGTAGAACTCATGGCATAGAGAACACTACCCATTTCTTTATACTTCAAAAAAATCAAAATAATCCCAGATTATTATTAACCTCCATTTTTGCAGAGGTCCATGGTTCCAATCCATAGCATGTCAACCCTTCAAGGTAGCCCAGACAAGAAGCACCAACCAGGAGTATTAACACTACCTTTATTATAAGGTTACATAACAGAATCTTGCAGATCTGAAAATTCATCTCTTCCTCCTCGCCTTTACAGTCCAATAAACTAGGGAGGGTCCCTTCTGAGATGCTTGCCATGACCCCATTCCTTCTGCAGGCTAAGCTGCCTCTTATCTGACCGTTGTCTAGTTTGCAGCTCTTCTTCCTCCTGTTTCTCAAGGACATTCTCACAGACCATTACACAGCATGACCAGAACATGATCTGACCATGGTAAATGTCTGATAGCAATGTCCTCTACCCTTGTATCATTAGCTATCTGCTCTGAAGTGAACACTAAGCCTACCATGCAATCACCCATGTAAGTCAGGGCTGAGATGATCTGGGACAAACCTATGGCTTCTATGGAGACTATGAATTCCCAAGCCCCACCATATTCCTATCCCCAGGAAATGGAAGTTGAATCCCTAGCATTAAAAGCTTGGGAGAGTTCATCACCAGCCCTATGAGTTCCAGGAGCTTGGGAAGGACTGCTCTGAGCAGTTCTTACTTGTTCATACATCCCAGTTTTGTAAATACACCAGATGCCAGATCCTCAGATTACTCACTTTGAGGCCACATGGGTAGTACAGCAGGATATGACCATAATAATTACAAGAACATTAAGCATCTAGTATATATAGACTTCATTAGCTTAAATATTTTATTATGCCAAAGAACAGCTTGGATAGTTTTACCTTTATTAATAATCAGATTATTCCATGACATGCTGATTTTATACATACACACACAAACACACACACACACACACACACACACACACACAGAAATGTCCTTTAAAAAAGGATGAGGCGGTTTTTCCACCCATTTTTTTCTCCACTAGAATCTGCTATTGCAAGGCAGTATAAATTTTGAATTTAGATACCATGGCTTTAGGTAATATCATATTTTCTTCCACGAATACTGTTCAGTCATTTTTTGCCCTAAAACTATTTAAACGATTAGCCATCATTGCATGTTATGATACTAAATTATGTGAATTAACAATGAGTGATTTGGAAAAATAGTTTATTTTTCTTGTCTACCAATCAATTTGTATAATTTCTACCCAGAAGTTATAAAATTTCTAAACTCTTCTAATTGCTGTACTTTCCTCTAGAATATAGTATATAATTTCTTCTAGATTATAGTATATAATAGTATACTATTATATACTAGTACCATGAAAGAGTAAGAAAAGCATCATCTTTGGATATTGGAATTATACTTCATCCAGATCTATAGTTTAGCTTTAACCACAGTTGGTTGAATAAGCCACAATGGCTGTGGTTACCCATTGCACTCAACTATAAATCACATAGCTGGAGTTCACACAGACACTAAGCAAAATCCAAACAAATTGTGTCACATAGAAACCAGGTCATTATATATTTATAATACATGTGAGTCTGCATGCTTAGCCAGAAATAATGGAGCTGAAGTTTGCATTAAATAGTATCTGTTTTCCTTTCTTATCCAGTAATAAATGCTACTTGAAATATAGTAGCACAGGAACCCCGACCCAGATAAGGCAGCTTAGGGATGTTGTCTCTGGATTCTCATTGAAACCATGCCAACTTGCCCAAACAGGTAAGACATTTTATCCTAAAAGAAAATAGTGTGGATAATATATCTTAGACCAGTGTTTCTCAACCTTAGCAACTTTAAGATATGTGGACTTCAACTCCCAGAATTCCCCAGCTGGCTGGGGAATTATATACTGGCTGGCTGGGGAATTCTGAGAGTTGAAGTCCACATATCTTAAAGTTGCTAAGGTTGAGAAGTACTGTCCTAGACTGTTTTAAGACATGGTGTGTAAATATATGCCATACTGGACACTTTTCCAATTTGGCATCCTCCAGGTTTGTTGGGACTGGCCGAAAATTTTAGCAGCTGCAATTCCAGGACACCTGGTGGGACATTGGGAAATCCGCCCTACAGAATGATTTCCCAACACTACAGGGTCTATAGTGGTTACAAGGCAATGCTATAAATGTGAATCCCAATTGTCCTTGTTTCAAACATTATTATGAATCATTTTATAGTCTATCTGGTTTCATAACGTTCTTTGCATATTTTAGCACATTGTTTTGAATTGTTTTTGCAATGTTGGCTATGCAATCTAAACTAATATTTGCATCTAATATTTGTGTTGGGCCAGAATCATCCCTAGTGCCTTTAGTCCCCATCTAGCTCAAATTTTGAAAGGGCACCTGCATTGTACCATGTCCCTCTCCACCAGAACATCATCTGAGCTAGACCTTCTGAGTGCAGCATTAGATTGCAGTTACTCACACTTGCTCTTTTCTGGAGCAGGGGAAAAGGGATACAGCAGGCAAACATGTACAAATGCACTTCTAGGCATTTCTGACTTGTCCTCTGAGGTTTTCAGAAATCTTAATCTTCTGCGCCAAAAGATGTTCATCAGTCACAATATATAGGAGACTGTTGGGAGCATCTCCTGTGCCTGATGTGCAGTTTTCTATGAATACGATAGGCCTCAATGACTTGCAAATGCTGCTGAATAAACTTTATTATCGTATGTAGGTTATGGATTTATGGTGAAATTGGTCCTATAGAGAAACACTGTATTGTAGCTTTCCCAGTCTGGCACCCTCTGGATATACTGGGACTTCAACTCTTCCAGAGTCTCAATGCATCTTGAGAGCATCAAGCTGGGAAAGACTGTTCTAAACAACCAAATGTTTTCTATTAGGATTTGCACATATTCTGGCAGAATCTGAAAATTTGATTTTTCCACCTCTTACCCATATGTTTTTTGATAATCTGATGATAGCATGGACTACTATGACCTTGCCAATTTATTTTCTCTGCAGATTGTCAGATGGACTTTTTCCAACATTTTGCATTTTCTGGAATTACTGTTGCAAAGGTTTTGACCCCTGACAAATTTGTATGTAGAACAGTTTGTACTTACCGTCCAAACTGCTTATTCTTTACATTTTTCAGCAGTGAATGGGAGATAAAAAGCCAAAGGTGAGTATAGTTTGAAAACCTGATGTGATGACGACTTTTAGAAGATTCGCCATGTGAAATATTTATTCAATGGCCTTATATGATCCTACGAGATCTTGTTTTGTGGGTGGATCAACGGGTATTTCTACCCATCTGCCCACAATTTGGCAACGTCACACAGATTTGTTACTGCAAAAACTACGATCTTGCAAAGGTTTCTTGTTCTCAACTTCCACTAGATACATCTAAATGTACAAGAGCAGAATTAAGATGTTCACCTGGGGAAAAGAAGAAAACAAAAGAGAGGATGTTGTTCTTATGGAAATAATAAGAAAATCATGTTGGGCTGATATCTAAGAATATAAGAGATGTGATGTTGGTAGCAAAAGGGAGGGACAAACTGAAGCAGGTGGCAAAAAATAAATTGCAATAATTTTTTTCAGCCACATATACTTATTGGCCTTTATGATGCAGAAATGTGCAGACAGCGGTTCATATATCATGTTTCATTTAAAGAAATATAATAGATTTACATTAAAGATTTACATTAAAAATATTTGCAGCATAGAATTCAGTATAATATAGGATATATAAAAAACTCTAATATATTTTAGAATTTGCGTGTGTGTGTGTGTGTGTACTGTATACATATATATGTGTGTGTGTGTATCATGTATGTATGTGTGTTTCTCAACCTTGGCAACATTAAGAGGTGTGGACTTCAACTCCCAGAATTCCCCAGCCAACTCCCAATTCTGGAAGTTGAAGTCCACACATCTTAATGTTGCCAAGGTTGAGAAACACATATGTGCATGCACACACATGCACACGCACACACACACACAAACAATAAGTGGGAAGTTAAAGGAAAGCCTAGGGAAAAAGCAGCCATGTTGGGTGGTGTCGCAACAAAACCACTCCCTACCCAGCTAAATGAATATCAATAGGCTGGTTACAGGATATCCTTTTGAGCACATGAGGACGATGTAGGCCTGTATGGAAATAGTTCACCTTTAGCCAAGTGCAACACCTTGAGAATGTCATGGACAGCCACTGCAGAGCCTTCAACACTAGTTATAATTCCATTAGTTGCAATTCCAGAGCACAGTTCATAAGTACTGCATTGAGTGCTAAAACTATTCACCCAAATAGGATTCAGCTCTGCTCTTCATATTCAGTTAGGCCTACAGGCACACAGGGAATTGGGCACGCCCATGTTATCTGCTGGTGATACAGATTCTATCTTGCTAATGATAAATATATAGGTAACAGATACAGAACTTAAATACCGTGTCTATTATTATGTTCGTAAGAGGATTTCTTCTGGACCCAGTCCAAACCGTGACTTGTAGGATTAGAAAAAATTAAACACAAAGTGACTCAGCGACATTACCAATCTGTGAGAAGTTATGGGGAGGCTAGGAAAGGAGTGGAAGGAAACATAAACAATAAAAAATTAATAGCAGGCAAGTCAGTTGACAGCTTATCTCATAAATGGCATCTTAGCCCAGATGGAGAGAAACCTGGGAAGAAACACTTCAAATCACTCAAAGAGACTCTGCATTCATTAACTTACCATAGATGAGCCTGGGAAATGCTTGTTACACTTTCCAAGATTCTGTATTTATATTCAAGTTACATTAAAGATACCTCCCTGAAATCTGTGTCGTTCTTGCTTCCTTGGTCTTGCCCAGCTGTGCGTGGCTTGACATAATCAAAAATTAGTCACGACTATTTGGTGTTTTTGCTTTAGGTATACCTGTCTGATGATGACTTCAAGAAGTGAAACACCAGACAGAATTGCAGAAAGAGCAAATGCTATATCAGGATTCAGTCTCCTGAACTGCCAAAGAGCTGAACCTGGTAATGTAAAGATGATATAAAACGCTCCCAATTAAAATAAAATTGCATGATCAGTTTTTGGCCTGTAACATGTCTTTGACATACTGTATACTTTCACAATGTTTACAAATCAATTGCAGCATGCCATTCCCAGACCTACCCTGAATTAAACTTCCATGGGACAGAACTGAGTGTAGAGTATGTCGATGGGCACAAGGCTTGTCAAGAACTTTGTACAATGACCCTCCGCTGCCAATTTTTCATTTACGTTTTCCGTAAAATGCAATGCAACCATGAAGGGTAGGTGCTTTTGTTCTGTCTACAAAATAACCTTAATGTGAAATTTTTCCATTTTTCCTCTCTTAAATAAAAAAAATATTTTTAGAATGATGCTGCTTCTTTTATTTCCTGTCTAGCAAATGTAAATGCTACTTAAGAATGTCTGCCAATGGGTCTCCAGATAATATCGAGGCCAAGAATGAAATAGTTTCAGGCTACTCTTTAAGGCTGTGCCAAACTAGCAGAAGCCCTGGTGAGTATCCCTGATTAAACCCTGTTCTGTTGTGCTTATCGGCTGTCAGAATGCTGGAATGGGTGATGTTTGTTCACTTTGGGAGGACTTTGATCACCCCTAACCTGATCATTCCCAGATAGGTTGGTCTAATACTCCCTCAATTCTGAACTGGCACATCATTGAGCCCTGCAGTTGGGATGATGGGAAATGCAATCCTCCTGTTTGGGGAAGACTGTTCTAAGGGATGGAAATTCTCATTTTACCCAATGTTTCATAACTTTTCAAGTTAAAATATTTAGTGGCACCGAAGGGACTAGACATTTGCTCCTAGCATTTCATTTCTGAATTCCTTTTTGTAGTCAATATACTGAATATTTGCAGGCTGTCCACTGAACATATGCCAAATGTTTATAGAAATTTGTTTCTTGTAATTTGACATATGTCCTTAATTTCAATACTTAATGTCTTTACAAGCCGACATTGGATTTACTACTCATTACATAGTATTTCTGAGTTTCTTTACTTTTTGACAATAGATAATGATACTTGGTAATTCATTTGTAAGAAATGACAGTTAATGTATCACGGTAACTGATAATTGTAGACAAGAGTTGACATTTGAGCAACCTATAGGATTTTACATTTGATGGCTACCAAAGTAATGAAAGAGATTCAATACAATCTCAAGTGCATTGTATTAGCAATTTTGAAGTAAAAATTCACAATTTTTCAACATTCGACAAAATTGAAAAACTCAATGAATGTTGACTTAGATCTTATCTTATCACACGGTAAATTGACTTATCAAATATCAGCCTGGTCTCTCCAGCCTAATTCATCACCTACTCATATGAAGTGACCCGACAAATTGAAAAAGGTTGTGAGGTTGTGCCTCTGGTTTTGTTCCCCTTTAATAGCCCCTCCCCATCCATGAATTAGTGCGAAGGGAAACTTAACCAGAAGAGTTCCCTAAGTTCCAAATCCATATTCAGCCAGAATTCCAGCACTTAGGAAAGCTACACACATTGAGGTTTCTATGCATAGAAACTATATGTTAGCTGTTGACATCCGGGCTAATGTAGAGATGTTAGGGCCCAGGAAATATCTGTGCCATAGATGTATGGCCAAAATGGCAGAGTCATAGCCTCTTTATTTGTTTGCTTGTTTGTTTTAACATCTTGCCCCCGGAGGTGAGACAGGCCCCCTCACTCCCGGCCTTTCGGAGGGATTTGAAGACCTGGCTCTGCCATCTGGCCTGGGGCGGGGAGGGAGGTTGTCACAAATGGGGTTGGT